GTCATAAAAACGGCAGAAAGCTAATGCTACCCCACCAAAAGTAATGAGTTTTCTACCAGCGTAACTATCTGATCTGGCTCAGGGTCAGACAAGCACTGCCACCACTGAGATGGAAGAGCAGGGAGAGCTAAGTGGGACAGCAGCAGCCTCAACCATGGACACAGCCATGCCAGGGTTTTTAAAATGCTGCCTAGAAGCTTCTGTGCTTCACTGGAAGCTGGTTAAAATTAGATATTCACAATGTTAAATAAAGGCAAAATGTTTTATCTTCGTGATGGGCTGGTGGTTTTCATGTGCAAAGACATTTTAAGCTCACTATTACAATTTAGAAATTATCTAAAATTTTAAGACTGAAGCTTCTACCCCATTCTTTGAAAACTCATTTATCTGTGATGAGAATAACAATGCAGCTGTGTTGCTGTCTACTTTTTTTGCTAACCAGTGAACATACTTCCAAAGGAAATGGTAAAACAGAAACATTTTCATTTCATAGTGGGGAAAAAAAATAAAACAAACAAATACACTCTCATGTAATTCGCTTAAATCTTGTTTGGACAGCTTGCATGGCTCACAATCTCACTGTTATCACTTCCTTCTCTGAATTAGAGCAAGAGCAGGAAGATAAATATAATACTGCAATATATGGCTCGATACTGATGAAGATCACTCTGCTGCGACATGCCTTGCACTTCACCTCTAACACAATGATATGGTTATCTAAGGTTTGAGGAGACTGAACAGTTTCTAATATATTAAAACACTTTTCATTTCAGAGATGGTGTCAGGAGCTGAAAAACAACTCCAATACGCTGTGCCACTTTGGTTCTTTCCCCTCCAGTATGGGATGTTTTCTTCCCTACAATCCCCCCACCAGATTTGCGGGAGCAGCAACACACTTGCCCTGTGCAGGCAGAGCAACATGAACAGCAACCAGGAGCTGGGGTTAAGAGTTAGTGAGAAAAGCCCAGAGAGGCACTCTTTCTGCAGCTTCAAATTATAAAAGACAACTTGCAGCAACTCCTATTTTAAGTTTCTCAAAGGAGCTTTGAGATCACTGCCTGTAAGACATTTGACATCCAGAAAGCAGAACAGTCTCTGCCTGCAGAAGCACTTTTTCTTTACTCTAAGCCTACATTTAAAGTGTCACTAGTACAGTGAGGACAGGGAGAGACAGATCTTGGGGTTTCATTTATGTTTTGTTCTTTTTTAACTGACCCAGCCACAAACCTGGCACCTGGCTATAGCTTCAGCTTCCCCTGAAACCAGTCATGCTTCTGCTTGTGTGGCCAACTGCTGAATTGGCAAAAACTACACTTGCAAGACCGCTTTTGCCAGAACACCTTTTTTGTGTTTGCATTAAAGAGGCAAAAAGGTAGATAAAGCTTTTGTCGACAATATATTGGTCTATTGGAGCAGATGTTACAAAGTGATAAAATAAAATACCATTTCCTCAGTGTTTTAGCTCTCCAGTGCAAGAACTGAATTTCCTCCTCACGAAAGAACTCAATGGTCGGTGGATAAGTGTGAGGAGAAAAGCGGTGATGCCTGTTTCAGCTCCTCTATAAGCCACAGGATGTGGAGAACTATAAAGTGGGGGAAAAGAGAGGTGGAAATCGTTTCTACAACGATTGAAAGGATTCCTAGAAAGCAGAGGGGCAATTAACACACATGGAAAAGCTCCTCAGTTAGGATGACATTACTAACTTCTTTTTTTGTCTTTGGTCACTAAAAGTATCTTTACAGGAAGCATTGAAAAAAGAAAAGACGTGGAAAGATTAAAATTCACATATAGCTGTTCCCTCCCGCTTAGCACGCTTGTTAATTCCATATACAGGTTTTGTTGAAGTGAAAAGACAAATACAAGAAAGAAAAGGTAATGGGGAGCACACACACTTCATCACAAACCGATACTTGACATTTCTCTTAGTTACAGAAAAGTTTTAGGACACTGGTGACTAATATAACTCCCTAAATCTTGGCCAGCTTCAGAAACACATGCCATAAGTTCAAGGTCAGGACAAGGTTAGTGCCTTAATAACAGAGGGAATATAGCATCTCTAATGATTGCTTCTGGCTGTTTTTCTCCTTACCTATAATAATGCCACTGTGATTGTTTGCTTTCTTAAAGTGATGCAGAGCTCTTTGCTTTACCTGCTGATGGAACCTTTCTGCCCACCCTGGGGCACAGCCAGGGACCTGATGGTGGACCAGCGAGATGGATATTTCATGCTGAAGAACACAAATTTAGGGCTGTCTTCACAGGGAAGTTCAGTGAAGGTGGCAGAATCCTGTTAGCATGCAATTGCATACTACCTTAGATAACCTACTACTTATTTTAATGTTACCCACCTGAGGGAGGCTCCGCTAATGAATCTATTTTTATAGCATCATAAAGGTTGAAGTTTAGAGCTAAGTTTAGAGCAGAGACATACAAAAAATGTCAAACCAGGAAATAGCTTAATGAAAGAAGAGAGTAATCACAGCAAATTACAGTGAAATTTCTATGGGATTACATTTTGCATTCCCCAAACAAGCAGAGGAATTCATCTCACTTAGTGTCATTCCATTTTGCTGAGAATTCACTGTAAGGATATGCTATGTAAGTAACATAATGTAATACCATAAAAGCTGTCTTAAAAGTTACAGTCTAAGATGCTTTTCAAAATGGAGTTCAGATTTCTTCCCACTGCAGTCCATGGAAAAACAGCAAGATATGCCACAAAATATCACAGAGAAAAAAAAAAAATTGTAATATTAGGAGGAATACAAGGCATATGTTTTATTTTGTGGCTACTAATGATGAGGTCCCTCTCTAAACTCCAACGTTTAGAAACCAACCAACGGTGGATGTGGTAGAGAAGTTCACCCCAGAAGAAGAAAGCTGGTGTGTTCAGTGTGCTTCCAAAATTCACTGCAGAATTTAATCTCTCCCCGCTGGCAAGCCCAGGTTTTGTACAAGGAGCACCTAGGATATCCGCCCCTCTGAAACAGTGCATATACAGCACAGCACATATACCTTCCTCTCCCACACTTCAGGTTATCTTTCTTTCACCCAGGCTTTACAACCCATAGTCCCATAACAAAACAAAAGCAATTTCACATATTTTTTTACCATATGTAGTGATTTTTTCTATTTTTCAACAGGTCTCCAATGTAAGAAGAAGCTGCGAACTTTTGACCTCACTCTGTTACTATGGCACAGCTCTGGATAGTTAGTTTAGTGAAAAAAACATGTTGACTTTTGGGTAACAATGTCACTGCAAATCTCTCAAGGCTAATTCTTGATGACAGTCCCTGTAAATATACTGGAACGTGCACAGAGCAGCAGCCTGGCCCTATTAAAGGCAACGCAAGTTTCACCACTAAATTCAGAAGGACCTCGAACTGTTCCATAATGAGTAACATGAAATAAGATCTCAGTCCATAAGGCAAAAAAAAGAGGAGAAAGAAGTGTGTGAATGGGATAATGGGATATCGTGTATTAACTGTAAGGAGAGGAAATTCATAAATCAGAAGTGTGCCATGTGTCTGCTTAAAATGATCTGTGTATATTTTACATAGAAGGTCTATTTGATCTGTTGCAGAGCAGTTACGCTTTTAGAGGAGGGCATTTTGCAATAGAAAAAGTCTCTAATAGTCAGCTTTTCATAAGTTTATAGAAACAGATAGAAAAGGCAAAACATGATTTGACCCCACAGCTATACAGTTTAACACTGTTAAAATTTACTTACCAATGCTTTGGTGTTTTAACCCAAAATTATTCCCCCAAATTTTTACATTTTCTACAGCACTAAGCCATAGAGTTGTGCTGTCCTCCCCACTCTGCAAGCTTGGAGGGAGGGACAGGAAAACATACCAAATCTGCCTGAAAGTTTTGAAATCTTTACCTCGCTACAAGTGGTGTGGACTCACCCATGTTTTGCTAGAAAGTTGTGGGTTCTTAAAGCATGCTAGACACCTGCACTTTTGGCTCCCATATTTTCATCTGCAAAATCCCAACAAAGCTAAAATATACAGTATGTTTTTCAGGGTGATCACAGTCAGCTTTCCACACCTGTGCTGGATGCACTGGTTGAAAGGGTAGTGTGTACAGAGTGGCCATTTTTTTTTTTCCACGCACCACAACTGGAGAGGCAGAGATGCTCCGAATGGCTGCCCAGGCAACAACTAGATGGGAGGGATTTCTAGGCACAATCCTAACACTGTTACTGTAGTAAAGCTGCACTTATCAGTTGGTACAGTGCCCAAAACAAATTCTGAGATTACTAATGTAAAACCAGATCATCTCATACTGATACCATCCCTGTTCATTCATGGGTTGGCTTTCCACAGGTCAGTAGATCCTAAACTGCTCTCAAATTGAAGACCAGCTTTCCCCTGTGGCACAAAGTATTTTGAAATTCAAACTGTAGGAGACATGGGGTATGAGTTGCAATTGCAAGCTCAGCTCAGCCTTCTACAAAGATCAGCTCAAGTGCAGGGTTACAATTAAAGAACAAGCTCCCAGGTACAGCGGGGACACCACCTCATGCTCCAGGCCATGCCCAGCTCCTGTGGCCAGGCACGGCGGAGGGGTGGACCATGGACCAAGGGACTGATCACTTCCCAGGCTGGGAGTAGGAAGGTGACATCTCATATACATGAACAGGAGACATACCAGCAGGGGAGCTCAAGGCTGGTGTCAGTTTTTGTGACTCATGTCCCATGCCTGAACGTGACAGATCATGAGACTTTTCATCTCCCAGGAAAGTCTTTGCTAATTGCCATACAGAAGTGAAGACTCAGGGGACATTCTATGGTTTGGTTTTTTTTTTTTTTTTTTTTTTTTTTTTCCAAGCACAAGAATTGGCATGTTAAGAAAAGAAAGGTCTTCACAGAAAGCTAAATCAAGACCCAGAACCTCATTTAGCCTCTCCGTTTCCAGACAAGGCTGAATTCAGGACCAAAGAGCAAGTGAGAAAGAGAGAGCTTAGAAATGAAAATAAGAACGTTTTCATTACCTTTTCTGCAAGCCAGCCTAGATGCCTAATCTCTCGACTTCCAGCAATGCCTGTTTTACCCAGCTGGTCTCTGACCTCTGCAATCACCCTGGGGATGAGCTCATTGACACTGGAGTGGATGGCATTGAACCAGGCCTGGGCTGTAGCTGAATCCTTACTCCTGAGCACCACGGTGTGCTTGGCATCAGGTGAATGAACTTCAATAAGTCTAGAAAAATGGGGGGGGAAAAACATTATGTTCACTCAGATACCATTATGCAGCTAAATTTATTACCTCACTTAGTGTCAGCAATGAGTTACAAGGAAGGATACTAATATCAAGACCTAGCATTAAAAACTTACCTTTACAACACCTGAATAGAGTAGGACCATCTTAGACGAAGCCAGGTCTGTACTGGCATTATGATAAAATCCTTGAGAAGGTGATGTGCCAGAGCTGATGCAACCCCACATCTAACATATATATTCAAACATAAAGGCAAGAGGAGAATTCACACACTGTCACTCACTGACACAGCAGCCGCCCAGAACTGCATGGGAGATAACTGCGGAGAAGCCAGGGATAAGCTGCAGCCTTCTTTAGCTGAGTATCACAGCACATCCAGAGTTTCTCAATGTGTTTATTTTACACATACAGAGCTAAATGAAAACCACCCTCATCCCAAATGGAGGAGTTTTCTTAGGACTGTGCTGTGGTTTCAGCGATACCAGTAAGCATCAACCAGAAGCCCACCAGAATTGCCCTCCTCCAGGCATTACCAAAGTCCTCAATGCTTCATTTAGATCCTGCTAATAGTGGAAGCAAGAAAGTGCTAACCACAACTGTATGTTTGCTGCTGGCAGGCATCTTTTACAGTTTTCCAAACCCCTGTGGAAAGAGATGTTTTTGTTTTTTGTTTTTTTTTTCTTTTTTTTTTTTTTTTTTCCAAAAAACCCATGCTTACTACACCATCCTGTGGGCTTCCGCCCCATCACTGTGGTTTGAAAAGCACAAACGAACCCAGTTTTCAGGAAAATGAATCCTGTCCATCGTGGTTATAGGACCTGTGCCAACACCTTTGCTAACAACAACAAAAATGCTTTGAGAGGCAGCTGCAGCTATTTCAGCTCTGTTCTCAGTGAAGTTATTAGTTATTACTGAGGCTTTGTGGGCCACTTTTACTTAACATTTGTTAAATAACCCACAAAGCAATAGTCTGGTTTATCTTTATGTAGCAATTATAAAACCAAGCCCTGGTCACTGCCTGTCACTCAACTCTATTATCACATTTGTGCTTTTTCATTATACATGTACAGTGACCGCGCCTGAACGTTACCCACACAAATTTGACCTAGGATCTGAGCCTAAGCACGTACTTCTGTCCTGTGTGTACTGCTGCCCAATCTTTGGGACACACAACAACTCCTTTCTGTATCAGAAAAGTAATTAGTTCTGTGGAATTTATTCAGGTTGAGGTTCAAAACAATACCGTCATGCAAATATTTGTTATGCAATTACAAAATCCTGCAATTTGGAGCTTAACTAACAATTAAGAGGTTTTAATTAATTGGTTAAACCAGAGCGGAATCCAGTACAGAGGGCAACTCAATCTGCGCAGCTCTCTGGGGCTTGGGGAGCAAGAACCGTTGGTCTCGTGTTTGTCCATTTTGGGAAGGGGAGGTCTCTACGTAGACACTGCTCTAAAGATAGAAAAGGTCATGATTTTCCAAACTCAGCAGCTGAACTGTTCAGGGTCCTAAATCACTGTTTGGATATCTTAAAAAGTGGGTTGATTTTTCATAAAGCACCGAGCCAACATAATAATGCATGTTTCCTCAGTAAAGCTGCTGGAGCTCAGGACCATCTGAAAATAAAGGCTCTTATTTAGCTGCCCCAGGATGCACCAAGGATTCAATGAATCCTTGGTACCAAAAGGAAAATTCCTCATCAGATGATGCAAGTCTGGTGAATAACAAAACTATGTAGATAGGTGCGTTCCCAATCACACCCTCATTTTTTTTCTGAACTGCAAGAAAAAGCCATCTCCCTGATGGTCATGATTTATCCATTTGTGTCCCTTGATCATTATGATCATGTACAGCTACCACAACCTGGTCTGTCTTTCCATCAGAAACATTGCTTTCCCACTGCTGTCTGAACTTGACTTTGAACTTGTTCTTGTAGGCAGCTATCACTGGAAACAAACTATACAGATTTGGATTTCCAGAGTATATTGTCGTAATTGGTAAAACATTGCTTATTACTTACAGAGCACTTTTGGGGATGAGATCTCACACCATTTTACAAATGAGGTCAGTGACAGCATCCCCATTTCACCACTGAAAAGTGGAAAGGTTCATAATCCAGACAAGGCAGGGAACAAGCCAGGAACAACATTCTACCTCTCATTTTAATATTTCTTTTAAAGACAAAAGTTATTTGGACAGCATACCAGTATTGTGTTGGCTTTGAAAAATGTTAGTGCACCGTATGGATTGTGTGAAACAATGATCTTTACAAAGCCTGTGGTTTCTGTAAGGGAACTCCCACCTCCAAAGTTGCTGCATATCGTGCGGTAAACAAAGTGCTGAACAAGGACTATAAAGACTCAGAAGAACGTGCTGCTTTTTCAGTTGCAAAGGAACAGCAGCAGACTTCTGCAACTTCTTTTTAAGTTACAGTTGTAGCAGGCTTTTGTTTAAAAATAAATTTTCTAGAGCTGAAAGAGCTTCCAATTGGCAACTAACTTCCCCCGAATTTGGAAAGCACTTAAATTCTTAAAGTAAGTGGATTAACATACAAAGAAGTATTTTACTACTTGGGCCTTCATCAAAGTGTATTTCCATTGACAGTGGCTTTTTAAGTATTTGTGCAAGAGTTCTGTCCCCTAAAATAATGAACATTTAGACAGCTCTTAATTCTGATTGAGGGGTTCTAAACTATGCATATTCTAATATAGAGAGATTCTACTGTGATATTAATGTATATATTATAGTATATATATACACACATACATACTGAGCCGTGCTTGCAAAAATATTCTTAAAATATCATCCCTCAGTGACTTCTAATCGGGCTATTTTGGGGACTGCTTGTCAGTCATCAAAGTCTGATGGTAATGTACTAACAACTGCAGGAAGTCTACCTCATTCCCTGAGCTGAGTGACAGGAAGATTGGACAATACATGCTATACTTCTCAAAAGTGAGTTCAAAATGGGAATAAATGCTGCTTTGACAGCCCTGAAACTGAATCCTTTTATCCAGGGCACTGGTCCAGCCTGAGGAATAGGTCTGCAAGCATCATTCCTGTGCAAGCTGCTAGTTAGGGCACCTTTTTTATTGATATCTTAAGGGTGGAAGTCTAAATCCTCAACTGCCTGAACTCTGTTACGGGCGATTGCTATATGATCTGGGCACTAAATCATCTTTAGGAAACCGGGCTTGCAGATTTCCACTAAAGATCCAGGACTCCCATCTCCGCAGCCAGTGGGGACAGAGATGCTCTAAGAAACTTAAAATCTTCCCAGAAATCCATAGGCTCTGACTGCAGTCAGATGCTGCAAGTGCTGCATCCCTATAAACTCGTCCCTTTTCTGTCTTTCAGCCTACGCTATTTTGATTCACCAGTCCATTTGGATGATGCTTTTTGTATAACAGATGACTGATGGCATTTCCATATTTTTTGAAAAGTAAAAAACCACCAGTGACCTTAGTAAACTCAAACACTAAAGCACTTAAACGTTTCCAGCACTTCAGCCATTGTAGCTTTGATTTGTTCCTTGGCTAAACTGACCACCGCTTACTGACTTCTGTTTATCTGCAGTTCAGTGATAAAGTTCCCTTAATTCCCCACTGAATTGAAATATTTAGGGCAATGCCACAGCTGTGTTTATTCTCACACTCCACCACAGTTATGTAAATACTGCATATGGAGCTGTTTCTGATAAAGCCCATACCAACCCAAAGGAATTATATGTAAGCTCTAGATGGCTGCCAAGATGCACGGCATCTCTCCAGCTTGGCAATGCATATGAATGATATCACATTTTCTCAGAGATCGTTTGGCAAACCTTATAATAAAAGAGTAATTTTCTCTCTCCTTCTCAAAGAGTACCACTGAACCGAGGAGTGTTTCCAGCATCCCCTTCTCCAACCGCACAACACGGGGTGACACAAAACCCAGTGCCTCCAAATGCTGTAACCTTCCACATAAGAGGCCAAATCTCCCTCCCTCACTTCATCATCCACAGTTTTTACCTTACAGAGGATCAGAAGAAGTTGAAAGCAAATGTTTGATAGACCATACTCATTCCATATTTGATAAGGCCTCTTTTTGTAGGAGTGTTCATTATCTAAGAAATACCTCTTATCAAATCTATTGAAAGTACTTCTCCCACCAGCATTGGCTCAGGACCAAATCCGGCACTGATTTACACTTTATGTCTCTTCCCAGGTCAGATTATGCATTCAGTGACTGATTAAAGTGTGTAGTAAATCCCTTGAAGTTAATGATAAGCTGGAGCCAGAGTTATTCAAGTCTATCATGCTACTTTGATTTTGCTGTGGCATAGCCAGGAGCAAAACACTCTGACACTGACTCTGCAAACTTAAAAAAGGATCAAGGGCCAAATTGCTCACTCCATCTCCTTCATCACTGTCTACACATGAAACCACGGTAAGTAATTTTCTCAATTTCTGAGTGTACAAACACAGAAGCCTTTACAGCATAAGGGGGGATTTAGAGGAACACAATCAGAGATTATATCTGAATAGTTGTACATTTTGTTATGCAATAAGTTTAAAAACCTGTTAAGGTTATTTTTCAATTCTACATGCAGCATCAGGAGATGAACCAGGAACAAAATACATTAAAATTAAGCAATAGAAACTTTGGGTTTAATCTGCAAGGAAAATATTCCACAGAGAGACTGTGAGGCTTACAACAAATTCTACAGCATACACTGAAGAAGCATCTTCATTTGATGCAATTAAATGAAGGTGAAAGCAATTTTTCCAAGAGCTATTTGGTGATCGAGTGGAATTTTTCTATGTGAAAGTCCCTCAGTCCCCTCACTGTCACAACGGTACCTGCTGTATTAACAGTTACTTGCTGAGTTTCAATTTACAGTGGTAAAAATGATGTAGATACTAATTTCTTGGGAACTGGACTAGACTGATGTCCAAACAGAGGGTGTATATATCACTAATGAGCTGTCACAGTTTATTT